ATCCACCGTTTTCTTTCAATCTGCCAAACGAACTGAATCCAAAGCTACCTGATTTGACGGATCCTTCCCGCCCGCTTTTCATGCACCTACATCGGTATCCCCTTATCACGAACAAACCGATCAAGAACTATGCAATCCCTTTGACTTTTATGCTTTCTGATTTCAACCGATCAACATCCTGTTATCTCTTTTCACCACCCCGACCTCTTTAATCAAGCTTGTTCCGAGAACACTTTTCCACCGAACAACAAGACAATGTCACAACCACCTTTACCGTCTCCCGTCTCCCGTAAAACGAACCGAATCAAAGTCACCCGCTTTGACGTCTTCATGTTTGTTTATTCTGCACCTCCGGTTAGTCTCTCTCTACCTTAGAACAAGTCTGATCAAAGAAAAATTGGGGCTGCTGTTGAGATGCTTCAACTCACGCTCAAAAACAATCCACACCTCCTTAAACTGAATTTGATTCCCGCTGTGTCTGCCCCACAGCGAAAGGCTGCAGTTTTCTTGAAACCGACTCTCAAACTGGCCGCCCTACGTCTTCACGAGCCCTAGGCTCTAGGCTCTGATACCAGGTGTAAACAAGGGGCTGCCGTAAAACCTTAGTTTTGTTCACCAAGATAACAACAAAAAAGAAAACCACACAAGAATAAAAGAAGAAAAAAGAACGAACACTAGATTAAGAAGTTTGGTGCGAAAGACTTTTTTATTAAGCAAACAAAAAGGGTTGGAATACTTACAACAAGAATTAATCTATTTATACTAAACAAAAATAAACTCCTTATACTAATCCAATTAGAAATCTAAATGGACTAAAAACGTGCAACCAATAAATAGATAAAAACTATTTTCCTATTTTGCCCTTGAAACTAAAACTTCTTGTTGGATATACAAACCAATTAATCCAACACAACAAATGTTTTTACCTCTCGAATTCTTAGGTTTGGGCTTACATCATCATCATATATAATATAAGACAATTTCTATACGTATCCCCAAATGTTGTGTACCCTATGTGAGTGTTATAGTGTTTGTATATCATGAAGGGGTATTTATACTAGAACCCTAATATAACATGAGTTAGATATAAATACCAGAATAGAATACATTAAAAGCATTGGAAATCTTAAAAGTTATTGATACGATATAGGTATATTAATATCCCTGGCTTGAACTAGAAAACGGATCATAAACGACTAGAAGCCCATTAATTTTAGGTACCGATAACTTTCATGTCTAAAGCCTCTTCCAAATAAGGCTCGTCTTTAAGTTCCATTCCAACATATGCATCGACTCCACTACCTCCCATTCCGTCAATCAAAATTATCCAATTATTTGCCGGCATGCTCCCGGTTGTTACCCACATAGGCTTTCCAAAACCAAAGTCAACTTCATAAAAGGGGAACTTACACCAGCTAGAAACGAGAACTGCATGTGGAGTACTATCAAACATGAACTTGCTCTGTGACCAGGATTTGAGAACCATCGATTGCCCTTCTTTATTTTCATGACGCATCTTTGAGTAGTTACTTAAGACTTCCTTCTGAGTTTTACTCAAAAGATATGCCAACCCTTTGGTTGTTTCATCGTTACTAGATTTGGTTGTAAATGGCACCAAAAGATTGCCACAAGAATCTTTGGGAATTAAAGATGCAGTTCTTCCCCGCAGGTTTAGAATTTGGATGAGAACAGAATCTCTCAGATGACTGTGTATTGCTCGATCAACATTAACGAGAGTCTTCCATTTGATAGCTGATACTATCTGTACCTTTGACAAATGATGGGTGCAACCTTTTTCATTGATCACACATTGTGCTTTAATGTTTAATATCTCACTCTCGCTAAATGAAAGTTTCTTGGTGACAAGATTGCTTAATGCATCTTTACTCAACTTATGACCTTCAACTCCACGACCAGGAAAGAAAGAGGGTGCGCTGAAACCCGCACCAGTGAATTCAACTTCGTTATCTTCTCGATGCAAAGCAGCCCATTCGTTCAGGAATGTAGAAAGTGTCCCAGCATCAGCAATTCTATGTGAAATACTTACACCAAGTGCAATAGCTCCGCACAACAAAGTGTTTACTTGAGTTGCAAGTATAGGAACGTCCATTTGGTCAGCAGCTCCAGGCATAATAGATGGAATGAGTTTGTCAATCAACTTACCATTCCACTGAGAATCAAGAATATCTTCAAGTCTCAAATCAGCTTTACTGTGTATAAACTCGGCACCTTCATCATTGCAGTCAACAGTATGCATTTCCCGAACGTATCTTCCGGCCAGAGGGTATAATCTTGTTAAGGTTGTCTCAAGTGATTTTTCAAGTCGAGCAACAAACTTTGGGTTGCTATCTCTATTGTAAGAGAAGAAGAGAACAGTACCAACATGCATAGGGGGAGCTACCTCGTCTTGGAAGCCTATCTTATAGTTACGGAGGTTTGGAGGAGTTGGAATGAATGGTTTTACTAATTTTCTTGATTCTATTTGGACATTCATCGCCATAGAGCAATTACTTTTCACAATGAGAATAAGAAATTAGGAAGTGATGATGATCTTCATCGTACATATCCGAGAATTTATAGCTTAGGAAATTAATTTATTGATGGCTTGATTCAGCACACAAGTTTTGATTTTACCATCGTGTAATGGAAATTCAACATTTCATAATTATTATAAAGAAACATAAAATTCGTTTGTCATTAATTAGAGCATCTAGATTCTGGAATGGCGAGTTTCGTAATGTTTATACCCATTCCAATGAGTTTTTCAAAAGCTTATTAATTATAATTGGAATGTACTGTATTTTTTTTTTAATTACCTTAACCACTTGGTATAGCATAAAATTTTCATTGTTTGCAAAAACTTTATTCAATATAAAAAACTTAGTTTAAATATGACGCGAAGTTTATAAATGTTTATAAAATCTTTGTCATTAAATTAGTTTTACAATCATTGATGTTTTCTGAAATACAATATGTTAATAATATTTTTTTATTTCTTAAAATAGTTGAAATCAGAACCAATAGCAAGTCTTACTTGTTTTAAAAAAAATTAAAAATTATTTCTATTTATTTCTAAACTTCCTAAAACATAGAAAAACAAAGAATACACTAATAAATAAAAGTGTATATTATCTACACATCTACACCACATCCATACCCAGACCTAAACATAGACATAGAGATAAACATATAAATACATATAATCATACGCATACATACATGCACATATCTATGAAAAAATATCATCTTTTTGTATTCTTTTAATTATCATTTTTTTTCATTATTCTCCTAAACGATACATATGTGCACATTTGATTAGGTTTTAATTGAAAAAATTCATAGAAAAAGTTCTTAGGTGGTGACACGATTGTAAATATTAGGAAATCACAAATTATTTTGTAACACCTAACAATTTAACATAAAATAGTTAAATACATCCTATACATTGTTTTAATACGATGAAACACTAGGTATATTTTAATACTAAATTACTACTATCACTCGTTCGCTCTCTTACCCCTATAGTGTTATTTGGTCCTAAAAAACAATCAACAAACAAAATGTAAGTTTTATGAGCTCAGTAAGTAATCATACAACACAAGTTGGAATGGATGGTTTTACTAATTTTCTTTATTCTATTTGGACATTCATCGCCATAGAGTAGTTACTTTTCACAAAGACAATAAGAAATTAGGAAGAGATGATGATCTTCATCGTACATATCCGAGAATTTATAGCTTACAGAATTAATTTATGGGATAATGACTTAAAAGGGTAATATATTTTTCGATTTGTACACATTTGGTCACTGAGTTTTTTTTCGTCTACATTTACCCCTTCAACTTGTTAAACTGTACACATTCAGTCTTTATGACCGATTATTCCAGAGTAGCCGGGAAAAATGACTTAATAGGGTAATATATTTCTCATTTTGTACACAGTTAGTCATTATTATTTTTGTACACATTTAGTCCTTAATATTTTTTTGTTTCAATATAAGCCATTCTTATTTTTGTACTCATTCAGTACTTATGAATGATTTGTTTAAGTTTTTCTCACACCATCTTACGTGGGACAATCATTGATGAAGTGTGTGGGCTGTTGATGTTTATGTGTAACGTCTCATTTTCACAACTAAAAATTTTCATTTTTAAATAAGGCAAAAGTCCCTAATTATAAATTCATTATTAAGAAAAAACGTTTATTCCAAAATACATTTATCGAAAATCAGAGTAATATAAGAAATGCGGAATCCTCAATATTGTTGATGAGTGTGTACGGTCATGTCTTCGCCTTCCCACGATCAACGATATAACCTGAAAACATAAACAACCGGGTAAACACAAAGTTTAGTGAGTTTCCCCCAAATATTCGATACAACAAACGTATTATCATGCATAACGAGCCCACACTCATCAGATTGGAATACATTGGCCCAATCAGTCATCGGACTCGAATGCCAACATGCAACAGGTCCAACCAGTCATCGGAATGGAATACTCAGGGTTTGTCGGCATGCTGCCTTAACCCAATCACTCTTCTCGAGCCTCCGTGCCTACGGCTTACAACCGGCCCACATAAGGTATTCAGGTATCTTGACCTACAACATATAGCAGGACCACCTCAACCTATCCCACCACCATATGGATATTCCACGTAAGATGCCGTGAGAAAAACCTAAAGAAATCATTCATAAGTACTGAATGAGTACAAAAACAAAAATGACTTATTTTGCAACAAAAAAAAATATTAAGGACTAAATGTGTACAAAAATATTAATGACTAAATGTGTACAAAGTGAGAAATATATTACCCTATTAAGTCATTTTGACTGGCTAACCTGGAGTAGCCGGTCATCAGGACTAAATGTGTACAGTTTAACAAGTTGAAGGGGTAAATATAAACGAAAAAAAAGTCAGTGACTAAATGTGTACAAATCAAAAAATACATTACCATTTTAAGTCATTATCCCTTAATTTATTGATGGCTTTATCCAACACACAGGTTTTGATTTTACAAACGTAATGGAAATCGATCGACATTTCATAATTATTATAAAGAAACATAAAATGCAAATGTCATTAATTAGAGCATCTAGAATGGCGAGTTTTATAATGTTTATACCCATTCCAATGAGTTTTTCAAAAACTTATTGATTACTAGTTTACAACCAATGGAAACCACAGGTAAAAAGATTTATAAATTTTTATTAAACTAATTAGATGTAAGGTTTGTTTAAACTTTTATATTGATTATTTAACAATGTCGAGTTTTTTAATGTTTATACCCATTCCATTGAGTTTTTCAAAAGCTTATTAATTACTAGCTTACAATCCGTGAATACCACGGGTAAAAAGATTTTAAATTTTTTATTAAACTAATAAGATATAAGTTTTGTTTAGACTTTTATATTGATTATTTAAAATTAATATATTTTTTATTTGAATATCTGATATAGATTATATATGTGAAGATATTTAATATAATTATGATTTATATAATATGATATAAATTTGATTAGAGTGTAAAAAAAACACGATCAATCATAGAAATAACATTAATATACAAAAAAAATATAAAAGGAATATAATAAAAATAAATAAACATGACACAATAAATTACAAATTTAAAACTACAAATTGTTTATAAATTTGTAAAAACTTTCTTACACACAACATTAGAAGTTTTGTTTGTAATGTTACCATCATTATCAAAAATTAACAATTTTAATCATTCTCTATTTTGAACTCTAAATAAGACAATATAATTCTAAATCGTAATGACTAATCAAATATTTGCAAAATATTTATTACTTTGTAAAGATAAATGGTTTTTTGATTTGATGTTTTGTCGGTAAGTTTGTAATGGTTAATTAAAATTAATATATATAATGTTACTTGAATTTAATATAATTTAATATAACCATGTTATTATTTTTGTTAAATATATAATTAAGTTTTAAAATTCAAAAAAATATATATTGTCATATTATTTTTTGTTAAATATATAAGACTAAACTGCACAAATGGTCCTTGTGGTTTGTCAAAAATTGTCACTTTGGTCCAAAAATGTTTGGACTAGCACTAGTGATCCAAAACTTTCATTTTCTTGCGTCTTTGGTCCAATCTATTCTGATTTTTTTCAAAATGACATATTTTTGACTAATCAAATATTTGCAAAATATTTATTACTTTGTAAAGATAAATGGTTTGTTGATTTGATGTTTTGTCGGTAAGTTTGTAATGGTTAATTAAAATTAATATATATAATGTTACTTGAATTTAATATAATTTAATATAACCATGTTATTATTTTTTGTTAAATATATAATTAAGTTTTAAAATTCAAAAAAATATATATTGTCATATTATTTTTTGTTAAATATATAAGACTAAACTGCACAAATGGTCCTTGCGGTTTGTCAAAAATTGTCACTTTGGTCCAAAAATGTTTGGACTAGCACTAGTGATCCAAAACTTTCATTTTCTTGCGTCTTTGGTCCAATCTATTCTGATTTTTTTCAAAATGACAAATGGTCCTTGTGGTTTGTCAAAAATTGTCACTTTGGTCCAAAAATGTTTGGACTAGCACTAGTGATCCAAAACTTTCATTTTCTTGCGTCTTTGCCCCTATTAATATGATTTTCTCTTTTTTCTTAATTGTTTGTTTTTACTTTAAGATTTAAAAAAAAAACAATAAAATAAAAATAAATCTCTCTCTCCTGATTTTCAGATTAAAAAAACAAAAAAATAAAAATAAAAGTCTCTCTCTCTCCTTTTTAGCTATCCCTCTTCTCACTTCTCTGTTTCTATGGATCACTAACTTTCTCTTTCTTCACGATTAATCTGGAAATAAAGTATAATTAAGATTGTTCTGAAGTGTAATTCGTTTTCAACTGGATCAAAATCAATTACCGGTCCATTTGGCATATACCAGAAACACTAAATAAGATCAAGTAAAAGGGTTTGAAGAATACAGTTTCCCCCTTCATGTGGATTTGAACATGGATTTTCTTTGAAGTGTTTGTGCAGCAAAGCAGGTAGAAAATAAGAATTGAGTGTGGTGATCCAGAGTATCTCTAAGAGATTCGAGGTCGATGCTTGCGCTGTAACATAAAAATCCATTGAAGAAGGTTTGGGAAAAAGAAAAAAAATACGATACACACTTCTTCTTCTTGATCATATCATAGGTGGAAATCAAAATCAAACCTCACCATCCCACTGGTCAATACAACCACCGAAAATTTATTGGCTCCACCTCGAGGTTCTTACCCACCTGCTCCAAGCCTTTGAGGTGTTGATTTATAGTCCCAATCTGAACTGAAACAAAAGTTCATATGGAGGTCGTCGATTAGAGAGGAGAGATTCAGAAGGTGCTTGAAATTAAAGTGGATCTACTTTATTGATAAAACGAGCTCATATCTATTCTCTCTGTACCACCAGTGGCGACGACTTGCTAGAGAAGATGAATATCACTGGTCGTCGGAGCTCTCAATACACT